AATCTTGCATCTGCCCACAGTCCCTGGGTGTTACAAGGTGGCTTGGCCCAGGGACCATTTGCTGTCCACAACAATGTATTCGGCCAGGCCTTGTAACAAAGGCTACGCCGAACCCATGTGGCTGATGTATAGATCAATGCTTGGGTCCCACGCCATACAAGGAAGCCCAACTGGGCAGCAGTTAGGAAGGTTAAGTGAGCACATAAGCTTAATGGGCCTAAAGCCCATTTCGAACTGGACTATTTTAATAAGTTAAATATGAGCGAATTCTGAGATGAATCAGCAGATAGGATAAGGTCTTAACCCCATCCACTCAGAGAGTCTAGATCTGAATATGATTCAGATCTAGAAACCTCCTAATGAGATTAGGAGAAGGCTGATCTAATCTGCAGATAAAGATAAGGGTTTATCCTTATCACCTAAAGAGATGTCTGATCCAAATATGATTTGGATCAGCAACTCATAATTGGATTAGGAGTTGATCTTTTAGGGTTACAAAAGGAGGGGGCGACAGCCTTTAGAAGAATCACATAATCAGATCCTCTTCAGAGTTGAAATCACAGAAGAAAGATTTCTGCAATCCCTGCAAAATCTTTCTTGCTGCCTCCTTCCTGCAGCCGCCAGACATCCAGTTCGATCTCYAACTTTGTGGGAGAAGTCAAGATTCGATCTTGACATCAGTTCTTTGTGAAAGAATTGATTGGAAGCTGCGCTCACGTGCCATCCTGTTGTTTTTTGCGAAGGACAAAGTTCTTGGAGAAGAACACTACTGATTCTGCTCCATCTTACACTGCACCATCTTCAGTGGGAGCAGTCTTTGGATCCTTCCTTGGGCGTGAACACCTTCATTGGGAGATATTATTTCTCCGTATCAGGTATTATCTTCTACTCCTTTTGGTTAAGATCTGGTTCAGTTTATGGTTCAAGATTGATCCTTGAAAATATGATTTTCTAAATAGGGAATGCGATTCCCAGTTGAAGGGAGAGAAAAAAAATTTTTGAATTTCGCCCCTTTATTCCGCAAGATTTGGGTGTCCATATGATGGATTTCTCATCCCTTCAGTGTCCTCCCCAATTTCCTTCAATTTGTAAGGTATGGCATTTGCTCTAGAAATTTGGTTCTTTTTTTGGGCAGACACTTGGGTGGGTAATCAACCTCCAAAAGACCTATTTCCTTCTCCGTATGCCCTTTTCCTTTATAAAAAGGAGGTTATCTTTGTCTTTCTTCCCCCTCCAGTTTTACCTTTATCCTTGAATTGGAACTTTGGTTTTCGTAAGGGCTTAAGGGAGGAGGAGCTTGCTTGTGTTATTGAACTTCTATCCATTCTACAGAGTGTTTGCTTAGACCCCTCTTCTCCTGATAAAACGGTGTGGACTCCTATCCCAAAAGCTTCTTTCACTTGTGCATCTTTCTTCAAATCCCTTTGTTTGAGTACTTCTTTTGAGCCTTTCCTAGTGAAAGAAGTTTGGGCAAAGCCTATGCCCCCCAAAATTGCTGTTTTCTGCTGGGAAGTGTACCTTGGTAAGATTAATACTTTGAACTTATAAAAGAAAAAGCCTTTCATTTATTTATTCCCAAACTGGTGTGTGCTGTGCAATTCTCATAGTGAGGATTGCTACCACTTACTGGTTTTTTGTTCTTTTGCTGCAGCTCTTTGGGATTGGATGTTTGTTTTGTTTGGATGTAGGTGGAATCAACTAGTAGAGGTAAAATCATTATTCTCACCGACTACCTTTGCTTGCCTAACAAAAAGAGGGAGGAGCATGTGTAGATGTTTCAGAGCAGCCACCCTATGAACATTTTGGGAAGAAAGAAATGCTAGAATTTTCCAAGATAAAGAGAGGTCCTTTATAGAAGTGAAGGAATGTATCTTAACCGGGGCTAGCCATTGGCTGAAATCTATCCATTCTACGGAGTGTTTGCTTGGATCCCTCCTCTTGATAAAAGGGTGTGGACTCCTATCCCAAAAGGTTATTTCCCTTGTGCATCTTTCTTCAAATCCCTTTGTTTGAGTACTTCTTTTGAGCCTTTCCTAGTGAAAGAAGTTTGGACAAAGCTTGTGCCCCCCAAAATTGCTGTTTTTTGCTGGGAAGTGTACTTTGGTAAGATTAATACTTTGAAGAACTTACAAAAGAAAATGCCTTTCATTTGTTTATCCCCAAACTAGTGTTTACTGTGCAATTCTCATAGTGAGGACTGTTACCACTTACTGGTTTCTTGTTTCTTTGCTGCAGCTCTTTGGGATTGGATGTTTGTTTTGTTTAGATGTAGGTGGAATCAACCAGTAGAGGTAAAATCATTATTCTCACCAACTACCTTTGTTTACCTAACAAAAAGAGGGAGGAGTATGTGGAGATGTTTCAGAGCAGCCACCCTATGGACAATTTGGGAAGAAAGAAACTCTAGAATTTTCCAAGATAAAGAGAGGTCCTTTATAGAAGTGAAGGAATGATATCTTAACCAGGGCTATCCATTGGCTGAAATCCTTGGATTCTTTCAGCTCTTTTTCATTTTATGACATCTGTAGGAATTGGGCCACAGTTGCACACACTTTGGTTAGAAAAACCAGAGCCACTACAGTTTGGGTAACTCCCCCAAAAGGATTTTTTTAACTGAATTTTGATGGAAGCAGCTAGGGTAACCTAGGGCCATCTGGCATTGGAGGAGTATTGAAGAATGAGAATGGTAATATCATATCCTTATTTTCAGGCCCGATAGGGATAGGGGACTCTACAAGAGCTGAGATATTGGCTGCAGTACGGGGAATTCAGATTGCTAATCAACTAGGAGTGGAGAACCTATTGATTGAAGGGGATTCTAAGGTGATTGTGGGCTGGCTGTCAAATCCAGACTCAGTTGTTTGGAGTTATAGGGGTCTCATCAAGAAAGTTAAATGTTTAACAAGGCACATAACATGTAGATATCAGTGGGTGGTTAGGGATGCAAATGCCTTGGCTGATCATCTTTCTAAACAGGGGTCTACTAGGGACCATTTATTCTGGGCAGCATTGTAATTTTGTTACTGATTTCTTGTAATGTTTAGGGGAGGCTGCATCTCGTACCTCTCCAAGGGATTCTTGTAAAATCTTTTTTCTCTTGTCTAATGAAATCATTTTTAATTATCAAAAACAAAGTGGCAGAAATATTTTTTATTATTGAATTAAAGCAATAATGTTTTTGATATGCATTTCCTATTTGTAAATATTTCAGTATAATTGTTTAGAATATCTTATATAATTTCAACCAACCTAAGGTGAGGCCCTTGAATTTGTCTTAATCAAATGATATGTTATGGGGCCAATAGCTCAATGTTTCAGACCAATAAATTGTTTAAGGAAAATTCATGAAGGATATCACTCTTTCTAAATTTTGATAGCAAAATAAAAGAAAAAAGAGTGAGGTGATGAAAAAAGTGATACCACCCAATTCATAAAGGATATCACCCAATTTATAAAGTTTTGATAAAATAAAGGATATCACCCAATTCATAAAGTTTTGATAAAATAAAGGATATCACTCTTTCTAAGCTTTGGATTTGGGTGAGGTGATGAAAAAAGAGTTAGCACCCAACTCCAATGCAAGAAATACAGCCTGAAACACTACAATCATAACAAGTTAATCTGGCATCTGCATTGGAATTACAATTCTAGGGTTGCTCACAAGCCCTGCAAGTGTCTCTTTGTACATCAGAAAGTTCTGGATGTACAAGAATTTAATCTAAAAATCGTTTTCCCAATTAAGTTACACAGCTCTTCTAGGTTCATCTGAGCATAATTGAAGATTTCATTATTTCTTTCCTTCCAATGCACCAAACTGCAGTAAAAGGAATACAACTCCAACTCATTGGATTCTTGGCCAAGTCGCAAATGGCTAATTTGAATTTATAGGCTGCCATCCACTTCTTCTAAATAGGTGAAAGTTGAAACAAAGAACAATCAAACAAAAGAACTTTAGTATAGCTCTATGTATTGAAATGATATCTTGAATCTTCTTCATTGCTGTATCTTAAATAGCAAATGCTTGGAAATTGGAATGCTCTCCTTTTGTGCCAACCAGTGGGTTGGTAAGGTCTTCCTGCTGGTTGTAGCAGAGACTTGGGATCCACACAAAAGTTTTGGACATACTGTCTCTTGATTGCTCAACATTCTGCTCCATGCAGCATATGCACATGGACGTTACCGTGTTGTAAAATATGATCAACCAAACTTTCATGGTATGGTGCTAGAAATTGGAATACTTCACTGGGTCCTTCTAAAAAGATATGAACATAGATGATATTTGATGTCATGAAAACACCATATTGTGATTTTGGTGGTGAATGCTTATGTTGAAGAAATTATGTGGCTTATATGTACTACTATTGCTTATTTAAACCATTCTGATTTTGTTGGACCATTTTTTTCTTTTGCCATGTGGCCTCAGTCTTTTGGGAAGTCTTATGCTCCTCTATAGACTGCTTTGAAAAGAGATGAACCAAAAAGGTCTGCAAAAAGTCTTTGATGCGTTTGTGCACCTGTGGAAGACTTAAATGAGTTTACCAGAGGAATTCTGTTATTAATTGGTTTTCTGTTTGAGGTGCCGAACCATAGATATTGTATAACGAAAGCTTTAAGGCCCTTTTTCAATCTTCATAGTTCGTATTTTTTGATTACTTATCCAAAAGCAAGCAGGAAAAGCAAGCGAGAAAGAAAGAATGAATGAAAAAGAGTGGTTTTGAATGATTTATTGATTTTTTTATCTTTTCTCTCACTTTATTCTACTCCAAGTCAAAATGAATTAAGCAGTAGTTAGCCAATATTATTTGTAATTCTACCCTGGTGCTTACTTTATAATTTCATTAGCATCTTTACTCTAATGGTAGTTATATCTAACAGTTGTGAAAAATCTTTATTTTTTCCATTCTGTTGTTTCCCCTGAGTGATTAGCTATCTTTTCTTTGACTTTTACACCTGTTGTTTCAAGGATTCATACTAAAGATGTTTATTGTTGAACCATGAAGGTATGGCAAGAAGTAGAGACAGAACTGAGGATTTTAAGGACACTGTTCGCTCTATAGCTCTTTCTCTAGGATATAATGAGGTTTGTTACTACTGCAAAAACCATATTTTTTTTGGGTGTGTTTCTGTGGTTGGAACAAATTACAACTTTAAGAGATTGAAATTTATCAGTTATACTGTAATGAAAGTAACTTTTAATGGATCTTGAACAACAACAATATTAAAATTTACACTTGCTTATTCTGAATTTATTTATTTTAGATCTATGCACATGGCATTTTCTTTTTTTTTTCAATATTATGCAGATGATACTGTAGAGAAAATGAGCCGAATGGCCCATAGACTATTTATCCTTTTTATCTTTTATGTTCTTTGCTGTAATGGGCCTTAATCTGGGCTTTATTCTTTCTTATGTTATGTCTTTTTAATTTTCTGCCCAACTAGGGGCTTCTCTGTAAATTACTAAAGTTTAACTTAATGAAATAGAATTAAGGGAGTAAGAGAAGGGATTATGTTAAAAAAATCTCTCTCTCTGAACCCAAGTTGCCACCACCTTCTTCTTCTTCTTCTCTCCTCTTGAACTCTGATTTCTGCTACCTTCTTTTGAATTTTTGCAACTTTCTAAACAGTCTTTTCTTCTCAAAAGTCTGTTTTTTTTCTGATACATATTTAGTGATATACTTGCTCTTATTTTGTAGAATAAAGAGAGTATTAGAATAGATACAAGGAAATTAGATGGCCTGAAGACTGCCACTCATCACATAAACTGAGCCACAAAAAATAGGAAAGAGCTACCTTAATCTGGTAGGTAAGGGCCTTGGTGAGAACTGCTCACCACAGGGGCTTCTTTGAGGGAGCGTTGTCCTCCTGAACAAAAAGAGAGAGAAGAGAGGATTTTGAGGGAATCCGAACTATCCAATTATTATTTAAGACTGCCTTACATAGGCTGTTGGGACATGATATCATAATTAACTTGATTCACATGGCCTACGGATGTAAACATATTTGATGGGTGGTTTAAAGCCTTGGGCATCATCCAGTCCTGGCTGGTGTATAGTGGAGTAAGAGAGTATTGGAATAGATACAAGGAAATTAGATGGCCTGAAGGCTGTCACTCATCACATAAACTGAGCCACAAAAAATAGGAAAGAGCTACCTTAATCTGGTAGGGAAGGGCCCTGGTGAGAACTGCTCACCACAGGGGCTTCTTTGAGGGAGCGTTGTCTTCCTGAACAAAAAGAGAGAGAAGAGAGAATTTTGAGGGAATCCGAATTATCCAATTATTATTTAAGACTGCCTTACATAGGCTGTTGCAACCAGATGTGAAGGGGACATGATATCATAATTAACTTGATCCACATGGCCTACGAATGTAAACATATTTGATGGGTGGTTTAAAGCCTTGGGCATCATCCAGTCCTGGCTGGTGTATAGTGGAGTAAGCAAGGTGGTGAGTGTTTTTCCATGTAGTTTCCTCCTGTGGTAAGTGGGTCGTTTATACTAGTACCTCCTCAACCAATATGTTTCCTGCACATACCCAGTGCTGATCAATGAGTGCCTTGGGTTCAACAATGGGCTGGCCTTCTTCAGTAAATTCAGGCTGGGTTTGACTGGCAGTAGCTATGGGTTGGAAGGCCTTCTTCAGAAGTGAAATGTGAAAGACAGGGTGCAGGAAGTATCTGGTAGCTGTAGTCGATAGGCCACTGCCCCTATACTCTTAGTAATGTAAAATGGGCCAAAATTGGAATTTATGAAATTTTGTATTTTTGTATGTTTGGACAGTAGGGGTATTTTTGTCGTCTTGCAATTTTCTGGGCTCCAATGATAGGGTTTAATTTGTCTAGTCTTAGTTTGTTTGTGTTTAAAATTTCAGTCATTGCATAAGTAGGATTAGAGTTAGAGTCTTCTTTGAATTGAAGTAGGATATGACAGCTTAGTTTGAGTTCTACTAGGATTATTGAGTCTAATGGTTTTGACTCCTTTGACAATTATGAGTCTAACAGTTTGATTCCTAGGATTATTGCGAGTTTAGAGTCTATAAATATGTATTGACTTACACAAAAGCAATGAAGTTTATTGAATTCTCTTCAGCTTATGCTAACTATGGTGAGTGGTTCCAGGTATTTTCTCTCTTATTCCTTCAAGAAGCCATTACAGCCATCAACAGCCATAAAATTCTGATCAAGAAGCCAATAACATTCTCTAAGGACTAGAACTGAGCTGGTCCTACATCACTCTTTTTGCTATGGATGATTGGGGATAGGGTTGGAGTTTCAGGTAAACCCAGTCGCCAACCTGGAACTCCGAGTGTAGGTGATGCTTGTCATAATTGGACTTCATCAGTTGTTGAGCTGGTGAAAGGTGAGCCTTCAATGATTGTAGAATCTCATCACGTTGATAAGCTGTTCATCCACTTTAGTCACCACCGTGGATCCCTACTCATGGGGTGGGATGGATGGAGGGTTCCACCCATATAAAGCCTGAAATGGAGTCGTCCTTGTGGAAACATGATAGGTAGAGTTATACTATAGCTCGGCCCAAGGTAGTGAATGGGGCCAACGTATCAGTTTCTCTCTTGCAAAACATCTTGATATCTCTCCAAGCAATGGTTAATAAACTACGTTTGGCCATCAGTTTGGGGGTGATAGGCTGGTGGAATGTAAGAACTTGCTGCCTCTGGCCTTGAAGTATTCAGTCCAAAAGTCACTCATAAAGATGGGGTCCCGGTTTGAGAGGATGGACTGGGAGTGCCATGCAACCATGCCACCTCCTGTACAAGTGTTTTGCCACCTAGACTGCAGTAAATGGATGGGATAAAGCCACAAAGTGGCTGTATTTGGTGAGTCGGTCTACGACCACCATGATGACAGATTCCCTTGTAAGGAGTGAAAGTCCAGTGGTGGAGTCTATACTAACCTCATTCCAAACCTTGTCTGGTCTAGGTAAGGGTTGCAATAATCCAACAAGTTTTTGAGAGTTGTTTGTATTTCTGGCAAATTGTACGTTGAGCAACCCAATCCTGGATCATCTTTCTCATACCCAGCCAATAGAAATGGGAAGATAGCCGTTTGTAGGTTCTGAGGATACCAGAATGTCCTCCAGTTGCTGATCATGGAAGAGTTGGATGAGCTGATTTAATAATGGTGAAGAGGCAGGCGGCACAAATCTTCCCTTGTAGAGGAGATCCATTTGTCTGAGGGATTACCTAGGTCTGGAGGTGACATTAGCAAGCGGTTTGGTTCAGATTTGGGTTAGAGTGGGGTCCTGTTGGGCTTCTTCTTTCAACTTGGCCAGCAAGGGCAGGAACACCAATTCTTAGGAGGCTGGATAGATTTCTGATGAATGGCAATTGGGATTGGATGCAGGAGAATGTGGTTCGAGAAACTCTTGTTCTCTTTGTCTGGTGACAAACCTATCCTACTAAAGGAATGCAGGAGAGTGAATGGTCCGAAGCCATTCAGATTTGAAAATATGTGGATGGGACATCCCAATTTCTTAGAGTTTGTGGAGCAAAAGTGGTGTTCCTATCAGTTCATGGGTTCAGCTGGATTCATCATGCTAAAAAAACTGGAGGCAAGGAAAAAGGTGGTGCTGGAAAGGTTGTCGCATTTGGACAGGCTAGAAGAAGATGATTCCCTGTCTAGGGAAGGGAGATTGGAGAGAGAAAGGCTAAAGGAGGAGGTGGAGAGACTTCTTCACTTTGAAGAGGTCTCTTGGAGGCAAAAGGCTAGAGCATTGTGACTGAAGGAGAGGGACAAAAATACTGCCATTTTTCAGGCTATGGTGAGAGGGAGGAAAAATTCAATATTGAGATTAGAAGGAGTTGGGTTATTGAGGACCAGCAGCAAATAGTTGAGGAAATTTACAAATTGTATGGGAATCTTTATAAAGCCATGTCTAGTAGATTTTGTCAATTAGGGGAGCTGGATTTTCCACAACTAGATGGGGAGCTGAAAGCATGGTTGGATAGAGATTTTGAGGTAGATGCGGTGGTGGATGTGATTAAGAAAATGAAACAAGATAAGGCACTTGGACCAGATTGATTTAATGTTGCTTTCTATAAGATGTGTTGGAATATCATAAAAAGGATCTACCTGAGATGTTTAGGGAAGTTTGGGTGGAGATGAAGATTGAAAAATTTGCAAATTCTAACTTCATTGTTCTTATTCCAAAGGTTGTAGGTGCAGCCAGGTTGAAGGATTTTAGGTCTTTAAGTTTGATATCAAGCCCATACAAAACCATTGCCAAAGAGGTCCTTCATTTGGGTGGGTCCCACTCAGATGGCTTTTGTTCATGGGCATCAGATTTTGGACGGAATTCTGATTGCTAGTGAATGTGTGGATGCGAGGATAAGAAGTGGGGAAGGTGGAGTAAAGATCGATTTGGAAAAGGCGTATGATTATGTAAAATGGGGTTTCTTTGAGGAAGTTGGATGCATTTTGGGGAGAAATGGAGAAGTTGGATGTTTGCATGCATCTCATCTGTATCCATCTCAATTTTGGTTAATGGGATATCAACAAAATTCTTTGAGGCATTGAGGGGTTTGAATTTGAGAATCTGTGTTTAGTTTTTCTGAAGAGGTTGCACCTCGTGCCTCTTCTTGGGATGCTTGTAACATTTCTGTGACTAATAAGTTTCTTCATTCATAAAAAAAAAAGAAATATTATTTGGTGAGATGGGACTTGGTTTGCAGGGACAAGAAGGATGGGGGCTTGGGAGTGAGAAGGCTGGGAACTTTTAATAAGGCTTTGTTGGGGAAATGGGTTTGGAGGTTTGGTAAAGAAAGGGAAGCTCTATGGAGAAGGGCGGTGGTTGGAAATAAGGATTGGTGAATTTTGGGTGGGATGTGAGAGAGATTCAATCTTCCTATGGGGTGACTGTCTGGAAAGGGATTATGAAATTTAACTCTTGATTCAGTCATTTCTTGATTATAAAGTGGGGAGTGGTTCAAGTGTGAAATTCTAGGAGGATAACTGGATTGGGATTGGAAAGTTGTGTGAGCTATATCCTAGGCTTTCTTTACAGTCTAAGTAATAAAGGTGTGTCTATTTCTCAATGTATGAACTTAGCAATGGGTCAGTG